GAATAAAGGTGCCATCTCAGGGCAGGAAGAAGGACAATGGACTGCAATATTAAGTTCTCATCCTCCAAGATTTGATCTCATCTCAAAAGCTGCATGGTTTTTATAACAAAGTTACTATAATGGGGGTCATTTCTCTTTCTTTGGGGATTGTTTGCAAACTTAAAGGGTGGGAGGGACAACTACTGCTATATATCTACTGCTTGCTGTAATATGTGTATGCAATGAGAGAAAACTGAGTCACATATATTTCAGGGCACATCTTACTTTCCTTTGATGGAGTAACAAATCAACCATACACATCTAACTCATCCCTTTTGCCTCTGTCTGAGTTCTGATCTTGAATGATAGATTATGGCTCTACCATGAAGTTTGGTTAGGCAGTCACTTCAGATATGGCAAATGCACATCACACCCCCTCTAGACAGCAGGAGGGTCATTTTATTATGATATGCTGCTATTATGGGCATCTCTCCAAGTTGATTAGGCATCGATGAAACTGACAACTGATGCCACAGCCTTCACCTCATCCCATCTCTTCTGCTCTATGTTCATCATATGGCTTAAGGGTCAAGAGTGTGTTTTTTTAGTGTTTTGATACTCACAAACATGAATGCATCAAAAGCTCATAACACAAAAGTCAGCCCAATTTTTGTTTTTAAAATTTTCTTTAAATGGTCAGAACTATATAGCTTTAAAAAACTCTTTCAAGTTTTTACCTTGAAAGCTGCAAGAAAGTTTTCAAAAGAGCAACACATGAAAAACAACAGAAACCTATCAGAATTCAAAGGGATTGTGTTCTCTTATATTGCAAGTCCTTGAAGCATCCTGGCCATTAAAACTTCCTGGCCAAATTGGATAATCTAAACTAGCTATAAGATATACACTGCTGACAAATTGAATTTAAAACCTTCTAATGGCAGCTGTTCCATCTTCATCCATTACACCCAGTTCCATGTGTAGATGTCTGTTGCCCCATGATGTAGCATGGAATTCTACCAGCCTTGGTCCACATTAGCCTAATAGACAATAATAGATACATTCTTCTATCCAACTTCCCCATCACATTTTACAAGCTTGCCTTGTCTCCCTCTGTGAGTACCTCCTATATGCTGTAAGCGGTGGGATTTTGTCCTGTGTACCAGCAGCAGTAAAATGTGGTTGAGGTAAAGATGTGATAAATGGGTGCAAGAGAGACATTTTGTGAATGTGCTGCCTTTGGAGGCCATAAAAGTTAACAGAGCTCTACTGGGTTTGTACATGGCTTCTAGGGCTGTGCAAAACTTGGTTTGGAATTCATTTTTCGGATCTAATTCAATAGATTCATACATACAAAGTGATATTAAGAAACAGGAGGAGTGGCCACACAAAAAACTTAAGATTCAAAACACTGACCTACGATTTTCAAATGTCATGGGTGCTGATTTTCCCCCAAAAGTGCTGGGTTTGGCTCCCACAAAGGGCCCTGAGGAGGCTGGTGAGGCTGGAGTGGAGGAAGAAGCTCTGTTTTCCCCTGAAAGTGGGCAGTGAGGGGGGGGGGAGGGATGCCTGATTGGATGGCTGGGCAAGGAAGAAGCCCTTCCACACATGGCTGGCTCAGAGAGAGGCAGAGACCACACTCACACTGAGGCTTTAACATGGGAAGTGAGCAGAATTCTGTGAAATGTAGTCTACGGCACAGCCTTTTGAATTCTCTGGTGCTGCTGATCTGGAGGCAATGCAGCACCTCTGTTTGAAAAGTAACTTCTCCAACTTGGAGAGGGAAAAGCTAGGCACTTTAATGTGGGAAGTAGGCCTGGGTAACAACGGAAAAATTTGTTTCTAAAATCGATTTGTATTTGGGTTTTTTTTTTGTTTCGATATTTAAAATAATTACAAAATTTTCCCTTTAAAAAGTTCGGTATTTACGAAATTTCATTAATATTAACGAATCAATTCGTTAAAATGGCGGACGCGGTTGCGCGACGTGAAAAGGAAAGAGGGGGGAAAGAGAGAGAGAGGAGGGGTGAAACAAACCACTTTCTGCCTTCGTGAATGTAAGGGACAGTGAAAGCAGTACTGAAAGATGGCCATCCATTCTTAATAATAATAATAATAATATAATAAATATAATTAATATAATAGTTTTAACCTGGAGAAGGAAAGGGGGGAAGGAGAGAGAGAGGAGGGTGGGTGAGATCTCTATTCTGGTTTGACAATGCTTCTTCTCAATAATAATAATAATAATAATAATAATAATAACAAACCACTTTCTGCCTTCGTGAATGTAAGGGACAGTCAAAGCACTACTGAAAGATGGCCATCCATTCTTAATAATAATAATAATAATAATAATAAATATAATAATAGTTTTAACCTGGAGAAGGAAAGAGGTTAGGCAGGCAACAGGCAGGTCTCTGAGTGCTGCACTGCTGTGTCTCTTTGCCCAATGCACGCAGGCCAGAGTGAGGAACGAGGTGACGAGTGACGACAGGAGGAGAGGAGAATTTGATCCACTTAAGCAGAGGCCAGGGACCCGGAAGTGGGGTAAATGCCGACCGCTTGCAACCAGGGAGAGGGGAGGGAAACAACTATAAAACTTGCACCAGACACATACGGAAATAATAACGAAACAATAACAAAACAATTACGAAATAGCTTTAAAAATTCGTTTCGTTTTTTAGTTGCTCCTGGATGGTTTGTTATCGCTTCGTTTACCCAAAAAATAACGAATTATTAACGAATTACGAAATTAACGAACGAAACCGCCCAGCCCTAGTGGGAAGCACTGAAAACCACTAGTTTTAGGAATTGGAAAAAATCTTACAAAGTACCCACAGACACACACAGACTTTCAAACATATGCTAAAATCTCCCAACTCCACCACATTTTGTAGTAGAAACCTACCAAGTGACATGAAAAATGACAAAAAGCCCAGTGTCAATACTTCATTCAACATGGAAATATGGGGATGCACTAAAGTCAGTGTGGCTCATTGCAGCATCCTTTCATCTTCTTTTAAGAGTCAGATGTTTGTTTTATAACAACTGTAAAGGAAAGAATGGCAGATGTGGGGGAGATGATCATGAGCATCAAAAGTAATGCAGCATAGCCATCTAAAGGAGGGCTTCTGTATGGCAATTGTTTCCAGGACCTAGCTACACCCTTGTATGCTATCAACATTCTCTAAATGTCAGAAATGTTCTGAAATATGACCTTTGAGAAATTATATCTATATCTTTGTCTTGTGATCTATAGGACATCATGTTGAAATGATACAAGGGCAGAACTTAGGAAAAGTTACATTCTTGGACCACTATGATCAGAATCTCCCAGCAATAAAATGTTCAATTCTTTAAAAGACAAAGCTTTCTAACTCAAAGATTTGAATTGCTTACATTGTAGAGCATCCATTGAATTAAAAAGTTCAGAATTAGTTCAGAATTGGAGAAAATTCTAATGATTTATTTTCAAGACTTGCTGGCAGAATTTAAAAAGTGTTACTAAGAAAATGTATAAAATGCTATCTGATCCTGGTATAAAACCAAATAGTCCCCACATAATACACAGGGAGTATGGAAGACTCTCTTATTATCTTCTTTGTTGAGGCCTCTTGTTTATGACATTAATCAGAATAATCAAGATAAGAAATTGTAACTGGGTCTATGATGAGTAACCTCATTCCTTCAAATAGGCAGAATCTTGTGGAGTTGTATGCTTGAGAAGCTGCCAGGTTTTGACAGAGTTATTCCATGTTTGCATTTTTCAAGGAAATAGTTGCTCTTATGCATCAGTGTCTTTGGAAGTATTGAAAAGATAAACCTTTCATGCATAGGGATACTGGGATTTGGAATAATTACATGCTTCATTTACTGTGGAAAAAAACAACAACATAGAGCCACTGAACAGGGGAAAAGACAAGTATATTCAAGAATCAATACCAAAATGGCAGTCTACGTAAATTTGCCAATACATACAAAATAGTGTTGGGCTCAGTGTGTTTCCACTATTGGTAGGTATCGGATTTTCAAGTGCAATGATTACCTTCTGTGAAGGCACAAAGAACTCATCACTTATCTGAATGAATAATTAACTTGTGGATTCTCTTTGCACAATCTGCAATATTTTGGTTCTTGGAATAACACGCCTGAAATAATTCAACCATTTCTTCAGAAAGCCAAAATGGTATATCTTTAAATACTGCAGAGAACTGAGTGATCCCCATGATGCACACCTCAATGGAGAAAATAGCACACTGCATTGACCCTAGTATCACTTCAGAAGAAGGCCATAGAATGCAGACAGATATAACTAATATCATTGATGGGACTATAAGAGGATACGTGTTCTTACAATCACTGGGCTGGAACCAACTATCTGACATACTGGATATAAATACATCTTGCCAGGCACTCTAGATGACAACTTGACATGAATGGAAATCCTGGAGGATTAGAAGGGTAGGTGGCAACTGAGGAAAAATTCTACTGTACAAATCCCCATGTTTGTTGACAGAGTTTTTAAACTTGTGTGAAACCAGAATTATTATTATTGAAGGTCTTTCTTTAGATGTGATTTATCAATTGCTTTGGGTATTTGCTCAATAAAAATTTCACGGTCCTTTATTTTCATTTTTTAATGGATGTAACGTAAATAATAAGGATTTATTGTCAGCCCAAGGAATGGCTGTTCTGCTTATTCAGAAATCCAGTTGGGAAGAATAATGGAGCACTGTGGACTTAGCACAACGTGTTGTAAAGGAATTACCTGCAGAAAAGCCCCCCACCTCTTTGTGCACAAACCTTGTATGTTTTTACTCTGAATACTTGGGATTCTGGAGAGTTATGCATGTAAAGCATATCTAAAGCAGACATTTCCTTCCCTACTTGGAGAAGTATTCTATCCTCTCCTTCTCTTCTATTCCTTTCTGCTATACTCTGAAAACAAAATCTATATGAAAACAAAATTCATTTCTAACTTTTTGGCCATATTTTCTTTGAAACAGAGAGAAGTAGCAACATACCTTTTAAACTTGTAGATTAAAAAAACAGCCAAGCCGACAAAGACCACAGACAACAGCATCAACATTGCTGAACTACTGTGCCCAGCACCTGAGTCCACAAGAGGTGCTAGAAGATAGAAGAACATCACGTTAGACTAGGAAGTCATTAACAGCAGGGGTGGATGGGGAACTGAAAAGAAGCTTGCTCATTTTCTTTGGAGTCTCCAGTTTATTATCACTGACATGTAACTTGTGCTGTCTTTAAAAAAAGGCATCTCACATGGAAAAAAATTGATCCCCCTCTTTCTTTGAACTCAAGGCTGCAATTTTTAGACAGCATCATAATGAAAAGGAAGCTGTGGAGAATGTAAAGACAAACTGTGTGTAGGAACAGCCCACCTTGGTCTGCTTTGGTCAGTTTTGATTCAATCTTTTTCTGAGCCTGAGTACAGAGGCTTTGTTTAATGGGGAAACAGCAAAAGCAAGGGAGGAAAAGAGTGCCTTTTCTTGTGCTTTTTGATGTTTAATCAGGATAAAGATAAGGTAAAGTTCAAATATTTTTTTTCATAGCCCTTTTATGTAACTCTTAAGTCACCTGAAATTGGTCCTAAATGGATGACATCTTCCTCCTTGCCTACTGATGCTTTTACTCTCCATTCCTCATTCTGAGTTTAATGACACAGCTTGTCTTTAACCCTTAATGTTTACTAAAAAATTCACTGAAGTAATTTCAATGTATTCTATAAGGGTTGGCATTATCGGCCTGTCATTTTGCATATACAACATTAATAATAATAATAATAATAATAATAATAATAATAATAATAATAATCTTTATTTATACCCCACTTTATTTATACCCCACCGACATAACCCAGAGGGACTCAGGGCAGCTTACAAAGTACTCAAAGCTGCAAATACATAAAATACAAAAATTGCAGAAACAATAACAGAAACAATAACAACCAACACAAATAACTCACTGCACAAACCCTCCCGGTTAAAATCAGTCAAACATAGCAATAGCTGCAAGTATAAAACAGCAATAATAAATCTCAGGCATGTAAAATGCTAGGTGAAGTCTATGGGTCCTCGTGTATATTCATTAAAAGAATCTAAATATGGCCAAAGGCTTGTAAAAAAAACATGTCTTCAATTGTGTACAGAAGGCTTGAAGAATGCTTTCATTCTTTATAACTCAGATGAAACTTTTGATTTTACTTGGCTAGAATGGGAAAGAATATTCAAGTTTTTCTGTTATTTTACCACTTTCATAATAAAATACAACCTTCAGCACTCTTCTGTGTGAGAGAAACAAAAACTCCCAAATGAGGTTAGCAATTGCCAGACTATTGAGATACAGAGATTGGACTTTGGTTTGGAAGGAATTTTGAATGTAAGAGGAAAATCTTCTTACCTGATTATTCACAATCTTATAAAACTCAATTATTTTTCTGGTATTAAGTCATCGTTTTAAGAGCTTAATAGTTTTTATTCCCTCCTTATGGGATCCAGCCATTAATAATTTCAGCAGCTTTTTCCTATAAACTTTTTCATTTTTACAGGATTTTTTTTTTAAAAAAAATAAGCCACTCATATGATCTACAAACTATTAACGACCACTACATAAAAAATAGGCCATTCAGCATTTTGGGTCTTCCCATCTGTGATAAAGTAATTCTAGATAAATGACATTTTTCAGTGCCAGAAAGAGGGAGCAGATTACATTGGGGAAAGATGAGCAGTATTGCTGGCCAACCAAGCCACAGATGAAGAGAAAAGAAAATTAAGGAAAACAAAACCCTCCAATTAGAAAGTCACCTTGGCTGGAGAAGAAGAACGAATTTCAGACTCCAAATAAAGTCAATTGAAATTATGAACAAGGTTCACCTCTTAAATACCGATTATCATGATATTCATAAAGCACTGAATGTTACATGTGATTGGCATATATTCATGAATGACAGTGTTAAATTTGCTCATAACCTGATTTGGAATATAAATGTAGGGCTGAGTTGGCCAAGTACAATGTCCATGGATCAAAAATGAACATTTACAATGGTACTTATCTTTTGTTTTCTTCTCTGAAGATATTACTTTAACTATAGACATATTTGAATCCATTAGGTTAACTGAAAATTATATTACATTTCATAGGCCTTTTTTCTCTGTAAGCTTACCTAATGTCAATTGAGTGACATACACTATGACTTCCACACCAGGCTTCAATTCAAACTGGACCAGGTTCTGATTCAATGCATTGAAGAGGATTTCAACAGTCTGGAAAAAAAATATGTCTAAATAGTAGCACTTGGGAAGAATATTAACTGATATCTCAGACATAGTAACAGCAACATAGTCTCATATTCTCAGGTTGAAGAACCCCAAGATTTACAGAGGTATAAAACAAGACTTCTTAAACTTTCCCACTTGTGACCCCTTTTGGCCAGAGAAATTTTTGCATGACCCTGAGTATAGTGTTATATAAAGTAAGTATAAAAATGAAACATTTGCTTATAATAAATGAGCATTTGCAATGCTTGCTAAAAAGGCTGATTTTCTTTTTTTATGAAGACACTCATTGGAGGGAAGGATATTAGAGGCAAAGATGAAGTACTTTGGCCACATCATGAGAAGATAGGAAAGCTTAGAAAAGACAATGATGCTGGGGAAAATGGAAGGAAAAGGGAAGAGGGGCCGACCAAGAGCAAGATGGATGGATGATATCCTTGAAGTGACTGGCTTGACTCTGAAGGTGCTGGGGGTGGTGACGGCTGACAGGGAGCTCTGGCGTGGGCAGGTCAAATAAACAACAAACAGCTGAAGCATCTTCTACAGAGTCTACTGTAAACACCGCACAACAGATTTATGTAAATGTTTAAAACAGTCATTAAGTGACATTCAGAAACCTTTACTGCTGCCAAATCTTTGCAACTTCAACATTGAGCTAAGGCATGCATGCACAAACTTTGGCCCTTCAGCTGTTTTGGACTTCAACTCTCACAATCCCTAACAACCTACTGGCTGTTAGGAATTGTGGGAATTGAAGTCCAAAACATCTAGGGGGCTGAAGTTTGTTCATGGCTGAGCTAAGGGGACCCAATTTCAGGCCAGAACCCACAGTTTAAGAAACAGTTGCATGAAACAAAGTTCAGTACAAACCTCTCCTTTTCAGATCTACCATACCAAATGCAAATAATGTTCTTGGTCTGTTATAAGAACATATCTCTGTGTGATGGGGATAATTGGTCAAAAACATAGTAGAAGGAGGCAGAGGCAAAGCATATTGATTTAAATGACTTTCTGAACTTCTGAATAAAGTTACTATGTTGTGTTAAAATGGAAAACTAGTGAAAGAGGAAAAAGAAGCAGAGTAGCTGGAATCATGAACTAGCTATTTGCAACATTTTGCTATAACACCCATTTGTTTGCAAATTACAGATCCTATTCTTCCCGAAATTATTCCCACCACACAGAGATATGTTCTTATAACAGACCAGGAACATTATTTGCATTTGGTACAGCCAAATGTGGAGGCACATCCAAACAAAACTGGTATACAATATTTAGGTTGACCTTATTTTTTTTCTTATTTTTGTTTAGGTTTTGGATCAAATATGCCAACAAGCAACTGAAGAGTTCAGTGTCACTCAAAACCTTTGTATCCCTTATAGATTCCCTCATGATAGATTTTTCCATCTGCTGTAAGGCAAATCCCCCTTCTAACTGCAGCTCTCACACCATATCTAACTTTGACCAGGAAGATTTCCCAAATCCCCCAGACAGATTTGGAAGTTCTGCAAGAGGAAGAAAGGGACACAAATCCCTGCTGTGGTTATCATAATTTCAGCCAGCCTTCTTATTCTTTAATGTTTACAACATACGTACATCAAGAAAAAATCTGCTTGTTGAAGTCTACTTCCACCTTCAGAGCACTAATGTTGGTCTGAGAAAAAGAAACTAATCTCTCCACCACCTACCTGTTTCAAGTCTAAATCTACATCTAGAAGGAACATAAATATCCTTTTTTAACCTTCAAAGCTAAACTTCTAATGATTCTGCACCCAAAATATCTAAATAAGCATGCAGTACAAGTGTAACTGTGGCACACATTTTACAAAGTGGATGATTTCACAACAAGCAGCTAGCTCCATCTTGGGGTATTAAATCATTTTTCACATTCCCGTGTTCTTTAATTACTTGTCCTCTGGAATCAAGATACTCTGATTTGTTTTCAAAAATCATGTTAGTGCAGTGGCTAAAAGTGAACTATCCCTAGTTCATATGTCACTTGCATGACGAACTTCATTAGGCAAACAACATACACTGTATGGTTATTTTAATGATGACTAAGCTACTGTTGAAAAATAATGCACACTCTCACCACAATTTGCTATGTGCTTTGCAAATGAAGTGATAGGAAGTTGTTTTGGTGAAACTACATCCTACATCCTACATTAAGCAATTGGAACTTATGACTTTGCCCACTTCTTCAATTGATGCAGCTGCTGGGCTTCTAAGAAGGGAACATTTGAGATTAATGATGTCATGAATACCAAAACTTCAGCTTACAATATCAAAAATAAATACCAAACAGATGCTAGCCATCTTCTTTTGTTATGTGGCATTGCATAATTTTTGTCTCTGCAAGAAGCACCCCCCATCTCATTTTTCTATATAATAACTCCCCCACAACATTTCAGAACATTTTAATAATGGGGAATACTGCAGATGAATATTCATTTTCCTCTGAACATGACTAGAACTACCTTAATTATTAATATAATCAATAATTGCATCATTATGTTATGTTACAATTGTATAATACAATTATGTAATTAATTAAATTGTAATATAAATGCTCAAAGATTTAAATCAGTAGGGGAGGCAATTCAGAAACTGAATAGACAGCTAGTTACTGCTCAAGCGTGGGGGAAGAAACAATGGTGCACCCACAGATGGAGCGCACCCTCCCTTTAGTTTTCCTGGGAGACTGGAATAGCTGTAACTTTATCTTCTGAATTGTCTTTCTCTCCTTCCCTTTCCTACATGTAAGCAGCCTAGTCCTTTCTGTGGCTTCTAAAGAAGGGATATTCTGGATGGGGTCAAAGAAGAACATAATAGTTCACTGTGAAAAAAAGAGACATATATGACATAGTTGTGTATGACACTAAGAGATTACTTTCCATTAACTACTATTTCCCTGATAATCCATATCTATACCCCCTCTCAAAGCAACATAATATTGACCTTAACATATTATGGTCTATATGTGGGATAATTTAGAGTGTTTTCATCTTGTGGGTCCCCAGATGTTTTGGCCTTCAACTTTCAGAAATCATAACAGGTGGTAAACTGGCTGGGATTTTTGGGAGTTGTAGGCCAAAACACCTGTAGACCCACAGGTTGAGAACCTCTGGTGTAGAGAAAAGGGAAGAAGAGCTCATATCAATTGGCTACCTTCTACACCAGGCTTGGGCAAACTTGTTTTGGACTTTAACTTCCACAATTCCTAACAGCTGGTAAGAGTTGAAGTCCAAAACACCTGGAGGGACCAAGTTTGCCCATGCCTGGTCTACACTGTCATTGCTGCCTTTAGTGATGGAAATGCTATAGTTACAATTTTTTAAAAAAATGGCTTCACTTCTCTGAAATCACCTCTTTTCATTTCACCCCCTTCTTGTGCACGAAGCCCTAAACGGTTTGGGACCATCCTACCTGCATGACCGCATCCCCGTTTATGAACCCACACGCTCACATCGTTCATCCGGAGAGGCCCTGCTTGTGATTCCGCCTGCGTTGCAGGTGCGTTGGTGGGGACACGAGACAGGGCCTTTTCTGTGGTGGCCCCCCGACTCTGGAACACCCTCCCCAAAAGATCTTAGACAGGCCCCTACATTGGCAGTCTTTAGAAAGAACTTGAAGACCTGGCTGTTCTGATGTGCCTTTCCAGAATAGGAAACTCCAATAACAAGTCCCAGAAGCACTTTATTAGAACTAAGATTCCTGCACACTGCACTTACCCTATAATCCTACATATCTCCTGTCACATCAGCACTTTTAATCTTGTACCTCCTGCCACATCAGCACTTTTAATCCTGTACCCATTACTCTGGCCCGGCCCAGTTTTATAGTGTCTTGATGTATTGTTTATTGCTTGTTGTTTAATATTGCTTTAACTGTTTTTAATTTGCTTAGGTTTTGTATTGTTATGTTGTGTTTTGAGGCCTTGGCCTTTGTAAGCCGCATCGAGTCCTTCGGGAGATGCTAGCGGGGTACAAATAAAGTTAATAATAATAATAATAATACCAAGTTTTCCCTTCAGAACATTTAGCTCTTCACCAAAGAGAGCATCTGTGAGCATTTTAAAAGACTACAAAAATGTCAATGGTTGTTATAGATTATCAATCTGAAATCTATTCCTATATGGCAAGCCATCGACAATAGTAACTAAATCTGCTGGAAAGTCTTGTGATACTTCTTGCTCTTCACAAAGTTCCCAATAGAGATTTGGCTGATTTATTCACTAGTTATTTTTGCAGACACATTTTAGGAAGCTTATGCTTTTGTTCATGACTCTAATCTCACCTCGGTATAACAGTATTCATCACTGTAATTACCTATTTATTTAAGTAAATGGGCACGGCAAGTTCCAAATGCAGTTTGTTCTCTGTATCTTAACTGGTTTTACAAATGGGACATTATAGGGAGCTGCAGCCAATTATTTTTCTTTAAGGAGAGCACACTGAATCACAAAATTGTCAGACTGGAAGATACTGCAAAAGCCATCTAGTTTAGCTGCCTAAGAATGCAGGGATATAGCCAAAGCATACCTGCTGCCACCCAACTTTTGTTTAAAAAACTCCAAGAAGACAATCACCTTCCTAGGTATTTTATTGTCTTGCAGTCAGAAAGTTCTAACATTTAGTCATTTAAGGTCTTAACCTGGAACAACAGAAAACAAGAATGTACCATCTTCCTCATGACAACCCTTCAGATATTAAATGATGGTTGTAATACAAACTATTTCCTTTACTTTTAGTTACTTCTATGGTAATACCAGAATGGTGCAAGCTGCTGGTCTACAATACAGAATGTACCTGTGTAGCTAGACCAAATTATAACCCATATCAGTGAAAGCAACTAGTTCAAAAGGAGTGAAAGTTGATCTGACATTAGACCAACTATAGCAGCGCTAAATTGACTCCTCTCCATTTTAGGAGTATTGAAAATTACAAAAAAATACTGCTGTTTGGGGCTAAGTTTGTGCCAACAAAGTT